CTCACACACACACACACACACACACACACACACACGGGAATGAGAGAGAGAATCTGGGGTCCTTTAAAACAACACACATTCCGGTCTTGCTAACTCTCTGTCTTGGCAGATTTGAGCGGCTAGGATCGGGCTAGTACTACCGAGCTATTCTCTCCTTTTTGTGGTTGGATATGTCTTTGTTGGTTTTGTTGATATACACGGCCTAATTCTTTGCCTGCTTTAGGGCATGGGCTGTTTGGCTGTTTCCGGGTGGCCACAAGTTCTCTTTTGGGGGCAATGTATGTTTTGTGGGCCTGCGTGGAAGGCTTTCCCAGTTTTTCAGGACCCTTAGCAGGGGGGGGGTCCGTGCGTTCTTGCTGAAGGAGTCTTCCTTCTTAGGTGAGTTGTCTCTCATTTTCTTCCTCCTCTTTGGCAGTGACGTGAGTGTGTAGTTTGAGATGAATGTCGGGAATGCCAATGCTGTTATATTTGTTTGTTTTTTATAAATGAGTTTTTGGTTTTGTGGGCCGATGCGGAAGGCTCTCCAAGTTTTTTTGGGACCTTCCAGGGGGTCGGGTAGGTGGCTTCTTGCTGGAGTAGTCTTCTGTCTAAGGTAAGTTGCCTTCTGCCCTCCATCCCCTTACGGTTTGAAATATATATGTGTACATATGGGTCTCGCTCCACTACTGTCCACTGTACAAAAACGGACAGTCGCTCCACTTACTGTCCACTGTACATGTGCAAAATGGCTTGAACAGTTTTTAGAAACCCCGTCGAAAATCTACTGTCCGTGAATGTACAGCTCCCAGCCTGCAAAATTCGTTACGCGGAAAGTCCTTCAAGGGACTCACCGTGAGGACCCGAATTTGGACTGTGCACCTGGAGTTTGGGCGGACAAAACCCTATGGCTATGGACGTCCTGTCTTGTAGTGCTATCACTGTGTCTGGTAGTGAAGCCACAAGTTTGAGAGGTGGACAGCGGACAGTAAGTGGAGCGATGTCGCATTTTCCACTGTCCGCTGTACAATTTTTCGCTCTGACAACTGTCCAAGAAATGTCCGAAAAATTGTACAGTGGACAGTAGTGGAGCGAGACCCTATGTATATGTGCAAGTGTGCCGCTTTGGCGGCAGACGGGTGTGTGGGCACTTGGCGTTGAACCACACAAACGTGGCCAACCTTATTGCCTATCTATACTTTTTCGTTATGGATAGCTTGTGATGATTTGTGAAGGGAATGAGAGAGAGAATCTGGGGTCTTTTACACACACACACACACACACACGTGTGCTGGGCTACGGTAAAGAACTCTCAGCTACGGTAGTCTTGGGACTACAAGTGCGTCGGCTATACCTGTCCTCGGTAAAAAACTCTCCTGGGTCCCTAAGGGGTTTCCTTTTTTTTTTTCTGTTTTGTCTTTTTGAAAAGCCTTTCTGCAAGGCCTCTTTCCCGTGCTGGTAAGAGAACCACCCGAATTGAGGCCTTACCTGCCAGGCTGCTCCATCTATTGGTGGGGAGCGACCCCTGCTGGGTCCGGCTTCCCTTGGATACATCATCTAAGGGACAGTGTTTGTTGGGACTACAAGGGCCCTATGAGTTCCTAGCCTGGAGCACCTGTGATGCGCAACCTCACGCCCCCTCGCGACTTCCCGTACCGGGTCGCCGATCAGAGTTATAGGAGGGGCGTGGCCGAGGATTTTTGGCCATAGGGGTTGAGTCTCCCGGTCGGAACGGGAGGCTCTCGTTTCGAACCAGAGGTCATCCCGGGATCGATTTTTCGCCACTGAGTCCCGGGGAGGTCGGGTCAGTCCAGGGTAACGAAAACCGAATAGTTCTGCAACGACTAGCTGCCGCGGTGAATCAAAACGAAGAAGGTCAGTAGGGGGAGGAGCCCACGATGGCTTAGGGGCCGAGGGCCGGGCCGTCAGGTTTTCGTTGTATAGGTGGTTGGTTCGAGGCCTTCAAGCCTCGGCGTCAGACTCACAAAGTCCGCACGGAAGTTCTCGAGAGGGTGGCGGCAGGAGAACTTGCAGATACCCGAATTCGAAATTGCGCGGGCAGCGACCCCGCATTACGGGAGAGCCCAGGGAAACGTGTCGCTCCCTCGTAACCCAGGACCAGTCGTCGCCAAGAACACGAGTCCCCCTGGCGACACCAGCGGCAATCAAACCGCGGTCGCCACGTGGCGTGAGCGGCCGACCAGGGTAACACAGTCAAATCCGTATAAGGCAATATTACAGTTGGGGAATCAAAACGATCAATTAAGAAGAACCCGTCCCCCCTAATATTAAACGCCCGGGGCGGGTCTCGCCAACAGACTTGCTCCATTCGGCTCAAAGCGCACCGTACATCCACATCGCAGTAGACGCCGTCGTCATCTGCGATGGGGAAGGCCGGTAGCGAGATGGGACGATCGGAGGTAGGCGATAAACACGGGCCCGACCCCACGCTCCCGGTCATCCGTACCAACACCGTCTCCATGCAACACTCGATGCAACCCTTCTCTCGAGATTAGTGCGTCGGCAGAAGATGATGAAATCTAAGTTCTCTTCCCCGTCGCGGGGGCATCGACCGCGCGCGCGGACGCCGGCGGTTGACGTCACTGGTACAGGGACGAGAAGTTCAAGAGCGATGACTACCAATTCGAAAAGAAAGGAGAGAGAGAGAGAGAGAGAGAGAGAGAGAGAGAGAGAGAGAGAGAGAGAGAGAGAGAGAGAGAGAGAGAGAGAGAGAGTGCGCAGGGATGGAGAGTGCGCGAAGGTGGGGCCGCGGAAGGGAGAGGAACAGCGCGATTAACACACTCATACTCCTAAGCAGACGGTCCTCCAGTTATGTTCCCCCTTCCCCGCCCAGATAAGTACATACACACATACATGCATGCAATCAACAACCCTTGAGAGGACATCCAATCATCCATAGACCTTTGACATCATTCATGCATACAACAAGCTCCCATCACTCGGGGCCTTACACACACGTCATGCAGAGACAAAGCAGCAATGGAGATAAAGGCGAGTCCTTCTTGTGTACAAAAATTCTCAATTAATTGCCGCCTCTAGGCGCAGGCTTCAAAACTTCCCAAGGCCATCGACCACCATAGCCACAAGGCCCTGCCGCGGCCGGCGTCCAATCCCCACCACTGCTCAGTCCCTCCGACTGCTTCGCCCCGAGACTACCGCGGGTCCACCCCGCGTCGTTACTCCGCCCGTCCTTGGGCTCGTCGAGCCTGTTCGGCGCCGCGGACTTCGCGCATAGCTCGCGCAGCATTGCAACCAAGATCAAAAAGAGGGAGAGGAGAGGGTTGCGCGAATTTATAGTGCGGGAGGCGGCGGGTTGTCAGCGCGAGGTGCGGGCAGCGCAGGGTGTAGATGAGCAGGACAGAAGAAAGGTGGGGAGTCAGAAGGTTCAACCCGCGGGGTTGCATGGTCCTACGTGATTGGGGTGTTCGTTCAAGTGGTGCGTGGTTTCCCGCTCTCCACATTGATCCGAGCATCCCAACTACGCAGCCAATCACTTCGCAGAGGAAGACAGGGTAAGGATTGCGTTGGGCGTAGGGGAAGATGAAGAGTCCTGCATGGGGAAAACGGGCGCAGCAAGAAAGGGAGATGGCGCGGGGACGCAGAGCAAGAAACGGGGGTGCGAGACGTGCGAAGAAGTCGGAGCTTAGGCGCGCGCACGCAAAAATTCAAAAAGTCCCAACCGAAATCGTTTCTTGGTTTTCATACCGCGGCCGCTATTCGCCCGCGCTGGAGTTATTAACCAAAAAGAAAAAAGTGAAAAAGCCGTTTCAAAAGAAAACAAAAGTAAAAAGGAAAGAAAAACCCCTTTTTGTTCGCATCTGTACTTCGGGGCTTCCGGGGGATTTTTCCTCAGGGATACGCCAAGCCGCGTGGTACGGGTCTGAGCTTATCACACACCTTCTTTCCCTTGAGGCTGCATAACCTAAGGGGTTTTGTCATTTGTCGTTGTTGTTCGCACCCTAAGGTTGCGGTATAGTGGGCTTCGGCATCAGTGTCAAGGTGTCGCATTTCTTGACGGCGAGCGACCAGGACGCAAAGTGGGTTCTTAGGGGGCGAAAAAATTTGGGGGACCGGTCCTTGGCAAA